TCAGGCGACGTCGGGCGCCCGACCCGCTACGGTCAAATCCGTAGGGGTGGCGCCTGGCAGGGCGGACCGCACCCGAGCGAACTGCATTAGTGCTGTTGGGGGATGATATAGCCCCTGTTCTTGTGTTCGATGTTAGTTATGCAGCTAAGCGGCCGTTCGTCACGTGCGCTCGCCGTTGCCAGGTACGTACTGACCTTCCGACCACGCCCCTAGTTAGGTCGGTTGCTAGGTGTCAGGTTAATCCCTGGGGGCGTGTTCAGGGGCGCAGACAGGGTTTTCTTACAAGAGGGTCCAAGAGCCCAGTGAGTACGCGTCGAGCCAATTTTCAACTATCTGTCGGAAGCCATCTATGCCGAAAAACGAAAAATCCGGGCCTAGAGAGGGGCCCGGGCCTCCAGCCCCTCGCTTGGCTGCGTCCACTGACCATATCTGGAGACTCTTCCCTCGATGAGCATGCGCCGGAAGTCGGGTGCCAGATGTGTCTACCGGAGGTCGGATGCCAGATGTGTCTACCGGAAGTCGGGTGCCAGATGCATCTACCGGAGGTCGGGTGCCAGATGTGTCTACCGGAGGTCGGGTGCCAGATGTGTCTACGGGAGGTCGGGTGCCAGATGTGCCTGCCGGAGGTCGGGTGCCAGATGCGTTTACCGGAGGTCGGGTGCCAGATGTGTCTACGGGAGGTCGGGTGCCAGATGTGTCTACCGGAGGTCGGATGCCAGATGTGTCTACGGGAGGTCGGGTGCCAGATGCGTCCGCCGGAGGGCGGTTTCCAGATGCGTCTACGGGAGATCGGATGCCAGATGTGTCTACGGGAGGTCGGGTGCCAGATGCGTCCGCCGGAGGGCGGTTTCCAGATGCGTCTACCGTAGGTCGGGTGCCAGACGCATCCCCTTTATGAACGTTTTCTACACAACACGTGTTAGAGTAGCCGGAGTAGACTTCTCGAGACCGCTCGAGATCTGTCTCGAGAGAAACTAGATTTGATGCTGATGATCCCTTCTAATCGCCACATTTTTTTGGCATAATGCCGATAAAAATTACCTGCTGGTAATTCCAATCATGACCTTGCAGGAGGGAGACGGAATTTCCTCACAGTTAAGGGCGAGGCAGAGCCCAATGAGAATATATGATGCCGATTTTTAACTTCCTGTCAGCAGCTTTTCATGATGAAAAGGGAGCAAATGTGGTTCAAAGCGAAACCCCTTGACCGCGCGTGTGTGCCTTTGGGCTCACCTGAAGTGTGGTTGGCAGAGCATACTATTACCTATGGTAATAGTGATTGGTATCCAGCATACCTATGACAATATTCAAGGGTAGAAATGACGTCAGAAGAAAAGAACATTGATGATTTGCACAGCAGGCGACGGAAGCCATTCAGCGAGAAGTCCTTTTTGGAAGCTTGAACACGTGCGTCGCTACACGACGTACTATGTCGCTGGTAACATGCTCGCTTTATAACACGACCTTGCGGCGAACTGGACGTCCAAGTGGACAATGTTTCCAGAGCCAAAGTGCTCTTCGGAAAGTCACTGCTCTAAACACCACAAGGGAGGAATAAAAGACATGGAATGACGCCAGGGCCTCGCCAACCGAAACCTTCTGTCAAAAAGGCTTTGCTAGAAGGCTTTGATTGTGGGATGGGGTCGTAAGTATCTATATAAGCCATGTGATGATGTTTATTGTTACATATGGTTCCCCTAATATGCGTATTTCAAGCTCTCATCTTTGCGCTCATGCCGTTTAATGCAAAAAGCATTTGAGAAAAGCAGTGTTTTGCAAACATTACATACAACTCACGTTGGTAAAAACAGATAAAACGGAAAGTGTTGCTTCCATAGTGATGAGCCGGGAGTTTATCAGCGGCTCATCAGGGCGGCTAATTCAGCTATAAATGCTGAGCTGTGCAGGGGGACTTCGAGAAAACCGGTACCGTGGGCAAAATCCGGACCGTTTCATGTGTCCATCAGTAAACGGTTCAACAGGTACAAGGCGCCTTTTACTTACGTTATCTCATTGTCATTGATCTTGCCCACGGACGTTTTCCGTGCAACATTGCATGACGAACTTCACCCGCGCCGACGGGCTCAACATGACCTTGTGGTCTCAAAAATGACGAGGAAGCCGAATGAGGCCATTGAACGGAAATCTTTAAAACAACAACACTGAACTGCTGCTCAGACGCTGCGATTCATCTAATCTTGTTAAAACGCCATTGAAGATGTGGCGAGAAACTAATGATTGTATGGAAGTGATGTGCGTCTTACGTCGATGATATCAATGGAATTCCGGATCCGCCATTTCGCTAGGCGGATCGGCTTGTTAGGCGACTTTAGATTTCTTATCAAATCACCGCACTGGCAGTCACGAACACTTCTCTAACCCAGGGAATCTGTCAGACCACACCTGTGGCTGGCATCGGTTACTAACCCTATAACCATGTTTTGGCTCTAACATATTACCTCAATCGACGGTCATTGATTATATTAGAGACCTCCATGGAGCCGGCTGCTTGTCATGCTATCAAGCTGGTGGCGCTTAAGCCTCATAGCTTAAGACTTGACAGACTTGACCAGACTTGTAATTATTTGGTGTCGGCGTGACTAGACTCGTGACGAAATAATCGGGATCGATACGCTTGGATGCTCAATTGCGTATCGTAAGGCCTTTTTCCACAACGTCCTACCTTCACGAGGCTTATGAGGGCCTACAGATGGCCTACGTTCCGAAGGCCTGTAATCAAGAGACCTACGTTCAGAAGGCTAACTTTCCTGAGATCGACGTTCAGAAGGCCTGTTTGCACAGCACTTGTGTTAAGAAGGCCCGCTCCCAGAAACCATGTGTCTAATAAGCTTGCTCACATGAGACTTGTGTTCAGAACGCCTCCTGTACAAGCCTATGCTCTGAAGGCTTCCTAGGGGCGCACCGCACTCGTCCACCTAAGGGATGGGGGGGGGGGGGGGGGGGGGTGGGAGGGGCGGGTGCGACGCACCCCATTTAATCCTCTCAGGCTTCTGAAACTACGCCCATGCCCTTACATGGTAGTACATGCCTTGAAAAACCTCGGCTTCTGCCATCTTCTGACCTCGTAGCCTTTGCGCAGATGGTCTCCTCTAATCAGAGGGGTCAAGAAAGCAGGCTTCTTGAGCACAAGCCCAGTGAAAGCATTTCCTCTGTGTGTAAACACAGTGTATCTGGACGTAGGCCTTATACCACATGCCTGGCAGCAAGAGACTTGAACAATCTTCTGACCATACTTTTGGGTATAGTTTTTTGGGCTTTTAGGTTTTTCTGATTGTAGGCTTTCTGAATGAATATTTCGTGAAAATAGACCCTGTGGAGAAAGGCCTCATGAATGCATGTCTTTGACCCAAGGACCTTTCCAAAAATGGATCCCTCAATGTAAGCCTTCTGAAGAGGTCTTTTGAAGACGTTCCTGAAAAACAAGCCCTTTCAAACTGGACCTATTGAAAAGGGTCTCTTAAGAATATAATTTAAGGAAGTTGGCGTTCTGTAAGTATACCTTCAAAACATAGGCTGTCTGGAGAAAAGCCTTCCGGAAATAGGTTTTCTGAACATCAACCTTCTATATAAGGGCCTTCTGAAAGTAGGGCTGCGCGCTCGCAGTGCCCGCGGCTGGGCTCAGTGGCAAGCCGTGAGACCGCGCCGCTACAACGGCTGGCTGCAATAGCAATCACAATGGTGGGGAGGGCCGATGGCGCTGCTGCGGTCTTCATGGACGCGTGAAGCTGCTGAAGCCATTAGAGTCACCCGTGCCAGATCGCTTCTGGCTGCTGGCCGAGCGGGGTGGTGTGAGCAGACGGGCGCCGACGGCGTGAGTGAGCGGCGCCAGCAGCGTGAGCGGGCGGGCGCCAGCGGCGTGAGCGGGCGGCGCCGGCGGTGTGGAGCGGGCCGGCGCCGGCGGTGTGAGCTGCGGCGCCGGCGGTGTGAGCGGGCGGCGCCAGCGGCGTGAGCGGGCGGCGCCGGCGGTGTGAGCGGGCGGCGCCGGCGGTGTGAGCGGGCGGCGCCGGCAGCATGAGCGGGCGGCGCCGGCGGTGTGAGCGGGCGGCGCCGGGCAGCATGAGCGGACAGCGCCGGTGGCCCGGCCGCTCGCGGCCCGCTGCAGCGGCACCGCGCTCAGGCCGACAGACAGTTACGCCCGCAGCTGTGGGCACGCAGACCCCAGCCCTCCAATTTAATGGTCTGCTGACGGGGACAGTCTGTTTACGATAGGTGTACAGGGAGGGGTGGGCAGGGGCGCCGGCGGTTCCGGGTGCGGGCGTGTGGGGAAGGGCGCTGCCCGCAGCGAACGATCGAAGTTCACCGGGTCCAGAGTGGCCAGAGTGGCATGCGGAGGATCGCAATAGGATTTATTCGTGGTGGTTCGTATCTTTCCAAAACTCCTTTTTCAAATAGCGAGCTCTTTTGAAGCTGGGCATGACTGCATATCTAAGTCACTCGCGATGATATATATATATATATATATATACACATATATATATATATATATATATATATATATATATATATATATGTGTGTGTGTGTGTGTGTGTATGTGTGTGTGTGTGTGTGTATATGTATTTCACACTCATTTAGCCCCCACCTATACGTAAGCTTGCTGAATTATGATGCCTCCAGATGAAAACAATCATGCGTCTTCTCGAGGCGACCTATCAGGAGCATAGCACCATTAAGTGGCGAGGATTCGCCAAGTGTGTGGACGGCTGCCAGTGTCGCTGTCCAGTGTCCATTGTCACCTTGTGCTGAGGACAACGTAGCTGTCTGTGGACGCCTGTCAGTGTCGCTGTCCAGCGTCCAATGTCGCCATGTGCTGAGGACGACGTAGCTGTCTGTGGACGCCTGTCAGTGTCGCTGTCCAGTGTCCATCGTCACCATGTCGGCCCCGCTGTCGGCAGGCGGTGAGGACTGCCTGTGTGAGCACCGACCCGCTGTCGGCAAGCGGTGAGGACTGCCTGTGTGAGCACCGACCCGCTGTCGGCAGGCGGTGAGGACTGTCTGTGTGAGCACCGACACGCTGTCGGCAGACGGTGAGGACTGTCTGTGTGGGCACCGACCCGCTGTCGGCAGGCGGTGAGGACTGTCTGTGTGAGCACCGACCCGCTGTCGGCAGGCGGCGAGGATTGTCTGTATGAGCACCGACCCGCCGTCGGCAGGGGGTGAGGACTGTCTGTGTGAGCACCGACCCGCTGTCGGCAGGCGGTGAGGATGCGCGGCTGCAGCTGGCTTGGGACGGGCGCCGCCCTCCTGCTGGCCAGCGTCGCGACCCCTGGTGCCGGCGCCGACCTGCTGCAGCAGTTGTCGCGCGCCCACTTCGACTTCACGCTCAGCCTCTATTCGGCGCTGGCCGACGACACCGCCAGCCGACAGCAGGACTTGCTCGTCTCGCCGTACTCAGTGTTCTCACTGCTGTCGATGCTGTTCCTGGGCGTCGGCGCCGAGTCGCCATCGGCGGCGCAGCTACGCGATGTGCTGCACTTCCAGAACATCAGCTACTCCCATGTGCAGCGCGCCTTCCAGCAGGCGGCACAGGTGATGCGACACCCCTACTACGAGGATCGCTTCCTGGAGGAGATGGCGCTGCTGCTGGCGCACGACGTGAACGTGTCAGACTTCTACTCGCGCGCGCTGGACGAGTTCTACCGGCGGACAGTGGTCGCGGTGGACTTCGGCAAGCCAGAGGTCAGGCTCGGGCTGCGCCAGTGGCTACTGAACAGCACCGAAGACCATCCAACGCCCCGCTGACGCCCGGCTGCCCGAGCGACCGGTGCTGCTGATGATGTCGAAGGTCCACTTCCATGGACAGTGGATGCAGCCGTTCAACGCCTCCATGACCTTTGACAAGGGTCTTTTCTTCCACGAAGGCTCTCAAAGGTGAGGTAAGCATCATGAGCATGAGGAACAGACGCACACACATGATGGATTTTTTAGCACATACATTTTCAGCAATGCAATGGGGCTACCGTCATCGTTTGGCCTTACACTATCAGTTTTCAGCAATGCAGAGCCGATAAATTTTGACGGCATGAACCATTCCCAGTCGAAACGTGAAATGTCTGCTTAATTGGCTGTGGAGCACGTTTGTTGCCAGTTATTACAAAAAGCAAGTGTAGAACAGAACGTAAGCACAATTAAATATTACAGGGTTGCCATAGTCGGCATAAACTTTGCTCTTCATTGCGGGCCTCAGCTTCTTGCTAGTACCCGGACTAGGTTTGGCTGTAGAAGGCGGGCTATTTAGCAGGCATAAGTGTTTCAAGCGGATTTTCAGTGACGTATTTTAGAGAATACAATGCTACAACACTACAGTGCTTTGCCTCCGTCCAATCCCAACTTTAACTGAAGCCATTGCTGCGTTTCTACTCCGGCGTGCTTGCAGGCTGCATGTTTGGCACAGTGTTCGAGTTCTTTGGGCGTGATGACGGGGTGCTGCTGGCTGTGATGGTGAGCGGTTGTACCATCGCCTGTTGGCCCCACCACGACCCCACTGTAGCCGCGCGTGCTCACTCAGGTGGCTTCCAGTCACCCCGGGGCCTGATGCGATAGAGCTTGTCCAAGAGCCGTACATCCAACGCTAGAGGGAATTGCGCATTTCACTTTCGTGATCATGTTCGTCAGGCCTTGTCAAGCGTTCAAACGTGTCGCCTGCTGCGTAGCCGGACATTGCAGATGAACCAATGCACTAAATAAAGTCTCCATTTCACGGTGTCTGTAACAGGTGCACAGCCGCAGCCGCGAGGAGCTGCCAGCGTGGCGACCGAGGGGTGTGACCGGACTCGTCCGCGCCAGCAGGATGGAGGTGCCCGTGATGACGGGACGGTTCCGGCTGCCGATCGGCTACAGTCACGACCTGGAGGCGCGCGTGCTGGAACTGCCGCTCCAGGAGCGTCGTCTCTCCATCTTCATCCTCCTGCCAGACGCGCTGGAAGACGGTCTGCACCGGCTCGAGACCAACCTGACCACGGACAACCTGCGCGCCATGCTCTCCACGCTGAAGGTACGGGCGGCTGCTGTGGGTGGCCGGCACCTCGCGCGCCATGCTCTCCACGCTGAGGATGCGGGCGGCTGCTGTGGGTGGCCGGCGCCTCGCGCGCCATGTCCTCCACGCTGAGGGTGGAGGACATGAGGACTGAGGGCTGAGGGTGGCCGGCGCCTCGCGTGCCATGCTCCCCACGCTAAGGACACGACGGCTGTACAATGTCAGCGCCTCGCGCTGAGAGCAGGACGGCAGCAAGGGCGCCGCCGCCTTCTTCCGCTGCATGGAGAGCCTTTACAAGGGTAAGCGGCCACCTTGTACGTTACAATCCGTCGGGCATAAAGTGCCGTAATGATTACGATTTTGAGGCGCGTTACACTGTGAGCCCCCGATAATGAGCTCGCCATACGAACTTTTTGGAAGGTGGGCACTGGCAGAGATGTGGGCATCGCCGATCAGCCTCCGACGCAATGGGAAGGTCCATGTTGAAGGTGGCCCTCAATGCATTACAGTTTTGGGTTTGCCTACAAATGCTTCCAAGAAACGTCGAAGATGATAAAGTTCGTTGTACTTGCTTGTATGAAAAGCCGTTTGTAACTTCTCCAAAATAAAGGTAAGTAAAATTTTTGCGAATGAATATGAAACGCAACCAAGGCGTCCTTAATGGTTTGTTCCGCATTTGCATGCGGTTTTGAACTGACAGCCATTTTCGAGATCATTCCCTGCAGTTCAGTTATGCTCTTTTTAAGGCTTTAAATTCTCTCTTTTCTGAGCTAGGCGCACGCGAATCTGTGCAGACTTTTTCGCGCCACCTATTTGGAGGACACCCAAAGGTTCATTGCGCCAAGGAGACATCGGACGTATTCCGCATCCTCAACGGCAAAACTGTATTCAAGGTCAAGAAAAATATCACCATTGGCTCATTCGTCAAGTCAGCACGAATCGCTGCATTTCTGAACGTAAGTCAGCGTTCAGCCAGTTAAGCGGGTGAAATTCAGGTCTCGATCACGAAGCGTAGCTTTATGATACATAATACGAGCAATTGAGCAGTCTTACTATGTAGTTATGACGGACCTGAAATTGGGCATTAAATAACGTCAAGGATAGCGCCGTAACCAAGCATGCAAATGCAAGTAAAAAAAACAACACAAAATCACGAACAAAAATACAAGGACACCATGGGAAAGGGCCAGAACCTGGGCACAGATCGATTGTCAGGCTTGTCACGCGCGCACAAATTAACAAGCTACCTTGCAGTAAGTTGAATACCAGTGAGTCAGCCCTGACACGGCCAGTCTGGTTGCGACTCTGACGTCATAAAAGCGTTCTGTGCCGTTATCAAAGAATGACGTATTGAGGCGCGTACTGAAACAGTGAAATTGTATTATATAAAGCAATCTTAAGCACTTGAAACTATGTTTATAGTTTCAAGTGAGCCTTTTCCAACTGTCATATTTCTCCGTCATATTTCTCTATCATATCTGATACTTGCTTCAATCTTTTCTAACGTGGACCAATCTCTCAAGGCCTACAATTTGAGCGCAATACTAGCATCCATATAGTTTTATAAAGTCCTATCCATACGCTTGCATTATCGCATTGTATTGCGTTCTAAGTGGCCAACGCACTCTATAATACCAACCATCGCATTGCACTGTATTAATACATTGCATTATTACAGCGGTGCATTGTAGTAATACACTACTACATGACTTTGCATTGTTCTACGTGCCGGTGCGTCCGCTCTCACTGGTGGCTATTAACGGACGCATCTGCTCTCACTGGTGGCTATTAACGCCAAAATAAGACGACGATTGGGAGGGGAAAGACGAGGGAATGCATAATGAGGGCTGACGGCTGCAAATACTAGGTGCGAGTCTAGGTACTAGGTTTGATCTGCCGTGCAATATCCCTCAGATACTGATCCTCACGTCCCTGTCCCTCTCCCCCGATGAGGGCAGGGACAGGGCAGAAGAGCTCTGAAGGACAGGACAGGCCCCCTCTCTCGGACATGACACGATCTCCTACCCCTTCTTGGCTTTCCATCTGATGAGATCAGTACCTGGTTGATACTTTCTGTCGCTTATGACGTCCTTTTAGAAATCAATGGTGTCTTCTATCCATCCAAATGGGGATCTCCTGTAGCATAACGGTTTTAAACCGGCCAACTTTTCTGTATGACTAAGCTGATTACAGTCTAAGTCGTTACCTGTTCTCGGTTTTTGTGGGCCTCCTGCACTATCTTAGCTTTTAATCACTTGAAATCCTAATATCATTAAGGCCTTCTCTTAATCATGATAGGAGTTTACCGCAATACGATTACTTCCGACTGCACCCAATCCTTCAATAACTGGATCCTATCCTCTGTCACTGTATGCCGTTGCCACCCATGACCACAGCTCATGGCCGTACCGCCGCGCGCCGACCACGTTCGTCATATCCATCACGTCTTTTGAGGGGTTTCCCAGTATTTCAGTACAGACAGAAGGCTGAAGGTTCTCTCATGCTGTCTGACAGCGGGGAGAGCGACTGTCCACCCAGTCCACCCGGCAGAGCAGCCCCTGGGCGACATGCGGTCTTCACTAGCCACACACGGCCAGGCTACCAACGAACTTTGACATTGACCTGGTGGCTGCCGGGCCGGCCATGACCTGCCCCATCACACAGGGCTCCAGCTGACGGAGCGGCCGTGCCGCAGGACGAGACGGTGCACGTGAAGCTGCCACGCTTCCGGCTGGCCTGCTCTGGTCACCTGCGGCGCGTGCTGATGGCGCAGGGCCTGACGCACGTGTTCGACCCGAGGACGGCCGCCATGACCGGCATCAACGCTGACGGCCGGGTGCACCTCAGCGACCTGCTCTTCTCGTGAGACCCGCCCCGCGGACTCACGCACGCGCCTGCACGCCGACAAGGCCCCGTGTCCGACAGTCGCGATCTTTTTCTATCTCAACTAGCTTGTATAATGTACATATATATATATATATATATATATATATATCTATATATATATATATATATATATATTCGTCTTTATAGATAGACTCCTAGCCTTCTTTCGGACCACCGCGCACGTTAACGTTGCTCGCGAATAATGGCGCAACTATGGAAGCTTTTCTACGTCCTATACTATGGTTATTTCTTGCTATGTCACGATAACAATGTTCTTGTTTTCATTTGAAATTGTAGGAAGTCGGCTGATGGCAGTTTTACGCTTCATTACTGCGCAATGTTAGCTTCATTTTATGATGTGCTAGCGAATGTCGCCGCATAACATTTAACCTTTTGGATACGTCCTTCAGCCATTTCGAAATGCACTTCTACGGCTGTAGGAATACTTCCCTGCCAGCACTAAAAGCCATAATGGGTTTGCGATGAGTGCTTGCACTTCCTAAGCCGTCCGTTGGAAAAGAGCTTGTTTGTGTGACTGAGTCGACTAAGCTCAACCAAGGAGGGGCCCAAATTGGCCTGGCATGTGCTGCCCCACTTCGGAGTCATTTGGGTCACTCTGTTACTACACTGTTGTGGCAAATGAACACTGGGAGCCGAGCGTATTTGATGCATATGTGTTGACGTTACACAATAATTAACTGAGCCATGCTCCGCCTGGGTCGGCAGGGCCAGTGTGGTGGTGGACGAGTCCGGCGGGGTCCCGCCGTCGCCGGGGCCCGGCCGGCCGTCTCCCACGGACGGTCGCCGGCGCGCGCTCACCGACAAGTACTTCGAGGTGGACCACCCGTTCGTGTTCCTCGTCTGGGACTACTACTCGGCCATGGTGCTGCTGATGGGCCGCGTGGTGCACCCGGAGCCCATCCTCGACTGACCGCGCGGCCCGCAGTCGAGTGCGTCCCGGTGCGGTGGGGCGACCCGTGGTGGTCTGTTGGTGTGGCGTGCGGTCGCGCTTTGACGTAGTAATGTCACCCTACCGACCCAGACAAAACAGTTAACAGCCACCCTACCGACCCAGACAAAACCGCAAACGGTCACCCTACCGACCCAGACAAAACCGCAAACAGTCACCCTACCGACCCAGACAAAACAGCTAACAGTCACCCTACCGACCCAGACAAAACAGCTAACAGCCACCCTACCGACTCAGACAAAACAGCCAACAGTCACCCCACCGACCCAGACAAAACAGCTAACAGCCACCCTACCGACCCAGACAAAACGGATAACAGCCACCCCACAGACCCAGACAAAATAGCTAACAGCCACCCTACGGACCCAGACAAACAGCAAACAGTCGCCCTACCGACCCAGAAAAAAGCAGCTTACCGTTATCCAACCGACCCAACAGCGACGGCTGCAACTCATTCTACTGACCCAACCGAGACGACCTACAGCATCCCGATGACCCAGCCGCGACATTTGAGTCGTTTTACCTACCCCGCGTGTTACCGATCTGGCACGCTGCTGGAGTAAAAAGTACCAAACTATTAAGCGCATCAGACATTTTGCTGTACTTTGGTGTGACAATGACACCCTGGCAGTGTGGTGCAGTGTCATCTGACCTGGTAGAGTTGTCTTGTGGTTCCGCCGGTGCTGAGGACCGAACGGCGTGATTATTCAGGCGTCACGCCCCGCTGTTCCTACTGAGGTTACACCGCCCGGCGGTCCAGGTGGCGCCAGATGACCGCCACTAGAGGACTCTGCTGGCGTGGTGCGCGCCGGTCCACGGCGACCCGCAGGAACAAGCCGAGCTTGGTGGCACCGTACGGTTTGGAACGCCGCGCAGTGCATCTAACACGGCGGGCTCGTTATACCTGTTAATTAGTATATTGATGGCGTGGCCCAGATTATACAGCAGCTCGAGGTATGACTTTGACGGGGCCTTATGGCAAGAGCGGGCTGCTGCCGGACTCGGGCGTCCTCGGAGAGTCCTGCCCCATGAGTTTGATGGCGCCCTGTGGCAAGAGTGGGCTGCAGGGCTGCTGCCGGACTCGAGCGTCCCCAGAGTCCTGCCCCGAGCAGCCGGATGAAGACAGCTTCTCCCACCTATGCCAATACGCCAAGCCATGAGACGTGGTCTCTTCTCGGGCCTTAGATCCAATACAAGGATTACATGCGCCGTCAAGATAATGTTATCTTAAGTGGTTCAAGCCATTTAATTCCGTGACGTCCCGTGACCTCTTTCAGACGCTGATCATCATACAACGGTTGTATTTGTAGAGCACACTACACACAGCAAATTGCGTAGTTCTGACAACAAACGAATGACGAATAACCTTCGTAGAGAGACTGTACTGTAGCATAAGCATTGTATCTAACATAGCGCGATAACACACATTAAGGTAGCTTCACCACATGACTAGACAGTACACACCCGCCACTGGCACGCTTACATCGAACACACACACAGACTGTCCCCGTCTGGAAACGGTGCGTGCCGTCGCACAGCTGCGCTTTCGGCGCCGGCACATTCTCAACGAACGTCACGTCTGCACTGCTGCTGCCGACAGCCCGATGTAGTGGTCTATGCCTGCATCTCTACACACAGGGGCATTACCCGACCAGTTGGGAACAGAACGGTGGCTCGAATGCTACACCTAAAGCTGCGACTCTGAACACAAGGCACGAGCCATTACAAAGCGCTGGATAGCTTACAGCGCAGCTCTTGAAGCATGTGATTTTGGTCTACCACAAAATTGATGCGGACTAGAACTGCTATTTACAATAAGCCTACAGAGGCATGATCAGATGCATACACAACAAGCACTTTATGCAAAAGCAATTACAAAATAAAACCAAACTCGTTTCTGGCACGCAGGTGCAGTTCGCATCGAACACTAACCCGCGTTACCTGTATACGCCCGCGTCAAGGCGCCACATGTCACGTGCAGCCGGCAATAAACTTATCCACAAAACCGAGACGGCTCGGGCCAAAAATCTGCCCGCACACCCACTTAGATCGCTGGCCTTCTCGTCCAGCAATCCTATATACGCAAGCATAGGTGTGCGTACATGCTACAGTTATGTCGGGCTGGATATGACCGGCTTTTGCCCCCAGGACACCTACATTACCTACCGCTCTGCTGCCCCTCTTCTCAGACCTACTTCTACTGTTGAAGACCACGATTTCATGATAAAACCAGAAGTATACTAGATTATGTACAAAATACCTTATTTACAATTCGACTCGTGCTAAATAAAAACAGCTATCTGAAATATGTCGTTTTCTCTGAAACCACCCACCTTACCAGTGCGTAACTATCCCTTTTTACATGTCGGCAGGCACGCCTTAGTATATAGCCGATAGCCTCCAATAAATGCATCACAAAACCAACGTTTGTTAGGCATCAGTGAGGTAGGTTCAAAGTAAACTGCCAGCTAACGCCCGAGGCAAACTCTGCCGTCGGTGCGAGACGCATTCTGGAGCTGATGTAGTGACGTCATTCCCTCTCTTATCTCCTCAGTCGGCTTCCGTCCACAGGGCCGGCTGCCATTTTGCTCATTCGCTCCCCGCCTTGCGTCCCGTTTCGTGTTCGCGTCAGTCCGCGCGAGTTTGCAGCCGAGTCCGCACTGCCGGCCTTCAGTGCAGCGCCGACCGGCCGACAGCATCGATTTCGCAAACGTCGCCTGCCCGGGCGCGCCGCGCTGCCCGGAGCTCACGCACAGCCGCGCCCCGCTTGCGCTGAATGCGCGCACGCACATCCGATTGATTGAACTCCCCCACCCCGTCGCCATGGAAACTGTTATTATTCAAAATTTAGGGTAAACTGAGTCGTGTCACAAACGGCGCAGCGTTAATCAGCTGGCCTGGGGGAAGGGCCGACGACCCCGACGCAGACGACAGGGAGCGTCGGCGAGTGGCCCGCCGCCCCAGGGGTGGGGCCGAGCAAGGAGTGACGCGCTGCGAACTGCCGACCGAGCACACGCTGCCTCATGAACGGCTGGAAAGAGCGAGCCGACCGGCCGTCTGCGCCCGAACAAACGTGGACAGATGTCTACTCGAGTGCAGGTGCAAGAGATGCAAAGATGTTCATGTGTGAAACCAGGTATGAACTAACATCTCATATACCAGCTGAATTGAGTTATTGGTTATTCTGGAGTTCATTTACGCCACAAAACAGACGTCAGTATGCACCAAAAGTACCAACAGGGCATAAAGTAAACAAATGGGATGCAACCAAAAATTGCTTTGGTGAATCCGTGGTAACATTTAATGGAACCAAAAAGATGGGGCCTTTGAAGTCAGCGGGAGCGGGGGGGGGGGGGGATACCAGGCATATTAGATTCCACACGACTGCAACGCCCACAGTCCAAGTGCCAAAGATTGGTAACACGGGGTTGACCACTCGCTCGCACCGCTGAGGACACATGCGGATGGGAAGTCCGACTGAGGCGGTACATATGTAAAACAAACCTGAAGTACCTGCGGTGTCGTATATACTCAAACATACTGCAAGTTTGACCCACACTGAGGTACCCAAAACCGCACGCGGCCTTGGCAAGTGAATCGACGCACAAGCAACGCACGCATCCTTTTGAGAATTGCTGCGGAGCGTCACGGTTTGACAAGGAAGAAAAAACAATAAGGCCGCCGGAGACGGAGAAAAGCAGGTATCGAACAGCGTCACTGCGAGGCTTCGACTTCTGACTAAGGCGTTGTATTTCACCCAGCGTAGTGTGCACTTGCCACAGAAGGCCACGCCATGGTCTCGGATGTTATGATAAATTGAGTCAAAATTTCAACCTTGTTCAGATCACTTGGGTGTCAGGGTCAGCCATAAGCAACAAGCTTTACGTACCTAGGACTCCTATCTCAAAACTACTCATTCAAACAATTTACGAAAGCTATTTGCAATGAAGATCACCAGTCGCCCTCCACCGTTATATTATAAATATTTCTGCCTGGCCAAGGTCAGCCAATGACTCCGCCAGAAGCCGAACAATTTAGGCCGTGTTTATCGCAAAGGCAGTTAATTTTTCATTACCGAGAACGGTCGCAGGGGGCGCGTGTGCGCCAGTCCTGCATACGGCACATGAAAAGGTGGGGTGCCTTTGACGCGTTCAAACGACACACGTGGCAGACGCGTCAGCAAAGGTTCTGTCGGCGTAATGAATGTTGTCGCGTCGAATTTAATGTGCTGTGTGCTCATTTCCATACGAAACCATTGGCGCATTTTTAGGGGAAAACTGGAATTTTGAAGGGGAGCACAAAGGTGCAGGCGAAATAAATCAAGCGGGGCGCATATGCAAATTACGCTAATTGTGTCGCTCCGTTCGCTCCGGTTTGTGCAGCTGCGCACTGCTAAAACTTCACAAACACATGGCTCAAATCATGGCGCCGAATGCGAGGGCGGAAATGACAAAGAGAGTAATGCGGCGGGGAAACCCAGGGAAAGAGGGTGGGGGAGTGAAACACGGAACGCGCGGAAAAATAGGATCCGCTCACTTTTGCTGCGCACGACAGCGCCCACGCCATGCAAAAGTCCCGAATTTGGAAAAAGTCATAGAACTAAGATAAAAAGTCCAGATGGGCGTGTTGACTCTTGCATGGTCCTTTGAAGATTCAGACAAACCTTTGGTGGTGCGTCAGCTATCACCGGCAAACTTAAAGCTCCAATGCATTAGCCTCGGCATTGATCACACACGCACACATAAACGCGTGCATGCATACATACGTTATATATATATATATATATATATATATATATATATATATATATATATATATATATACACGAGCCGCGCGGCAACTTCAAGACCAATAAGCACCAAAGTGAATCAACTCCACTACCCGCATATTAGAAGAGTGCAGCAGGTTTTCATCTAATGTGTCAGTTGAAAGCGGCAACTGCAGCTAGTTTGATAAAGGCC